GTAGCTATGCCCATTGAGAAAAAAAAAAAAGCTCGATCTTTCAAAATACCAATAAAATTTATGAATCTGTAGCTATGCCCATTGAGAAAAAAGAGAGAGAGAGAGAGAGAATATCAGGAACAAAAGCAGGAGCATCACTCTATATTCTAAAAACATTGGATGAGCACTAATTGAACATTACAAATAATTTTGCTAACAAATTAAACAACTTAGATCAAATGAACAAATTCCTCAAAGACACAATTATCAAAACAAATGCAAGAAGGAATAGACTAGTTGGATAGCCCTATATGCGTGTAAAAAAATTGACTTTGTAATAAAATTTTTCCCACAAGTAAAACTGTAGTCCTAGAAGATGTCACTCATGAGTTCCATCAAGCATTTAAGGAAAAAAAAAACCCCTACCAATTACTAATGTTACACAAACTCTTTTAGAAACTTAAGGAGGAAAGAACATTTTCCAAATCATTCTATGAGGTCAGCAGTACTATGACTCCATAAACAGACAAAAATATTACAAAACAAGCAAAGTACAATCAATATCTGTCATAAAAATAAAAGCAAAAATCATTTAAAAATATTAGTAATTTAAAACCAGCAATATATAAACTGATAATACATCATGATAAAGAGGGTTTTATCCCAGAAATGCTAGGTTTGAAAATAAGTCATTATAATTCACCATGTTAAAACAGAGGACAAAAGGAACAAAAGCAGGAGCATCACTCTATATTCTAAAAACATTGGATGAGCACTAATTGAACATTACAAATAATTTTGCTAACAAATTAAACAACTTAGATCAAATGAACAAATTCCTCAAAGACACAATTATCAAAACAAATGCAAGAAGGAATAGACTAGTTGGATAGCCCTATATGCGTGTAAAAAAATTGACTTTGTAATAAAATTTTTCCCACAAGTAAAACTGTAGTCCTAGAAGATGTCACTCATGAGTTCCATCAAGCATTTAAGGAAAAAAAAAACCCCTACCAATTACTAATGTTACACAAACTCTTTTAGAAACTTAAGGAGGAAAGAACATTTTCCAAATCATTCTATGAGGTCAGCAGTACTATGACTCCATAAACAGACAAAAATATTACAAAACAAGCAAAGTACAATCAATATCTGTCATAAAAATAAAAGCAAAAATCATTTAAAAATATTAGTAATTTAAAACCAGCAATATATAAACCGATAATACATCATGATAAAGAAGGTTTTATCCCAGAAATGCTAGGTTTGAAAATAAGTCATTATAATTCACCATGTTAAAACAGAGGACAAAAGAAAAAAAAAATACGACCATCTCAATAGATGCAGAACAAGCATTGAACAAATCCAATACCCATTTGCAATAAAAACCTCCCAGTAAACTAAGGGTTTGAGAGACACTGCCCTAGGGAATGGCTAAATTACCCTATGCCCACATTTCCATAGGTAAAGCCTCAGCTTCCCTACGATCACCTTAGCCTGATTGAGGCTTATGTCACTCTGTGCTCACCGTGGCTCTGACACCGTGGGGTGCAGCCCTCCCTCAGCAGGGAAGGAGTAGTGACACCAGCCCGGGAGCATGTGGAGGTCCTCGGGGAGCTGGGGCTTCGGAGCAGCCAGATTTCAGATTTAGGGGAAGATGGATTCCCTAGTGCCCCTCCCTGCATCTGTCCTACCCCACCCCTACTCACTCCTTTGCTGTGGGAGTCAAAGAAGCTTCTCACCTTTCTCTTTTACCTGGAAGGAATGCCAACCTGCACAAATCTGTGTACAAAACCTCCAACCCGGAACTACAAAGGTTTTAATGTGGTCAGAAATCGCTAATATTAGCATTATCAAATGCAATTATTAAGTCCAAGAAATAGAGTTAATGAGAAAGAAAGAAAAATAACTTTAACTGGTAAAGGATTTCATGAAAATTCTTCTTAACTGAACGTTCTCCACCCCACAGGAGTAAGAATTTCGAAAACCGTCAGAACCAACATGAAGTCACTTCTGTTAAAACAAACAAACAAACAAAAAACCCTGATGAACAGAACTCTTGGAAAGGCTATAAAAAGCGTTCTCATGAACAAATGCTTGATAACAAGAACACAGGACTCTGAAAAAAACCACAATGTTGCATAGAGTCCATCACAACCTTAAGCAAAAAATACTTCTGCAAGGACAGAAAGGAACTTCTCCAATCTGAAAAACTGTGGCCATAAAAATCTAGAGTTAATATCATACTAAATTTGTATCTTAATTTGTTCTCTTATAATCCACGACAAGGCTCTTGCTCCTTCTATTGAAAAATTTATGGGGAGTTCAAGCCAGTGCAGTAAGGCAAGACAAAGAAATAAAATTTATACAGATTGTAAAGAAAGAAGTAAATATGTCTTTACTTTCAGACAAAATGGTCGTGGAAGTATCCTAGGGAACCTACAAAAACAAACAAACAAACAAAAACTATGACAACTAGTAAGCAAAGGTAACAAGGGAGCAGGACACAAGGTTAATCATAGAAAAATCAAGTATATTTCTATACACTGGCAACAAACAATATAAAAATAAGACTTAAAAATCACAATATCATTAACAACAGCATAAAAACTATAAAATACTTAGTAATAACCAAATATGTGCAATACATCTACAACAAAAACTACAAAATGTTGATGAAAAGAATTAAACACCTAAACAATGGGAAGATATACCATGTTCAAGGATTGGAAGACTCAACGTTGTTAAGATTTTCCACAAATTAATCTATAGACTAAATGCAATACCAGCCTTTTTTTTTTTTTTTTTTTTTGGTAGAAACCGGCTAGAGAATACTAAGGTTTATCGGAAAATGAGAAGAATCTAGGATGTCCAAAACAATTTTGAAAAAGGGTGAAAATTACACACACTAATTTCAAGACCTACTATAAAGGATAAGCAATGATCAATGACACAGAATAATGAGCCAAATAATAGATCCAAGTAATTCAGAAGGGAAACAGTAGTCATTACAACAACTGGGTCTTTGAATAGGAAAAATGAATATCACTTCCTACCTCTCAACATACACAAAATTTAACTCAAAAAGAATTATAGACCTAAATGTAAAAGCTAAAACTCTAAAATATCTAGAATTAAACTTTCATGGTCTTGGGATAGGTAAAGATCTCTTAGGTCACCAAAACGAAGAACCATAAAAAATGATAAATTGGACTTCATCGAAATTTAAAACTTCTCTCCAAAAGCCATCATCAAGCATATAAAAAGGCAAGATATACAGCCTGAAAGAAATCATTCTTAGTAGGCAACCCAATTAAAAACTGGGTAAAAAGACTTCTAGTCTCAACAATATGCGGTAGACACAGTTTTCTCTGCTCTGCCCCATTAAGCATAGCTATAAACCCTATAAATGGCACAATGGACAACCAGAAGAGATCTCTGAAAGGCGAGAAGAAGAAGGTAAGCCTGTTTGGGATCTCAGGACTAGAAAAATAGCACAGAGGAAGGGCATCTTGCAACCCCCTACTCAGAGAAAGGCCTCCCACACTCTGTATCAGAGAGTCTCTCTCTGTGATTTAGGTTGACAGATTCAAAAATAAGGGACTTCATTATTATTGTATTTTTTAAATTATTATTCATTTAAGACATAACCATGATTTACTATTAAAACAAAATATCAA